ATCGGCGCTATCTCCCCGACGACCCGACGCTAACGGACGCCAGTGCGCTCCAAACACGGACTTGCGAGGGTACACGAGGCTCCCATCAGCCGCTGCCGAAGGAAAGGGGCTCCTTCAAGAACATGAGACCCTCCGCCGGCTAAAACAAACAGAACATCCAAGGGCACCCTCCCCAGGGTGCACGAGAACATCCAACAAACACGAAGAACACCAGGGTACCCTCCCCGAACCGACCTCGACCTTCTGCGTCGGACCGACTGTAAGCGACACCGCCACAAACAGAGCAAGGAGCCACGGGGGTGGTGTCGTGGCGCCCCCCCCACTCCCCTCCCCCTCCCCCGCTCGCCCGAGGTCCCCCCCCCCTATTCCCGACTCGGGGAGGCACCGTGGACCTCCATCGCTGCATCTTGCCACCGCTCGGGCGCCCATTTCCCGCGAACTGTTTCGCTTTCGTGCGCTTATATATTTTTCGAGAATGGTCCAAGATGTTCCTCCATGGCCCTCGCCGAGGAAAACACACACGTCCGAGCGGCATGGAGGTGGGCCCTCTGGTGGTGGTGGTGGTGCCGCCTCGGGCAGCACAGCGGTGTCGTCGTTGTCGTCGCCGTCGTCGCTCGTCGTCGTCGTCTCCGCATGTCGTCCTCTCCGCTCCGGCTTCGTCGTCGCTCGGCGCCGTGGTGGTGGTGCCGCCTCGGACAATACAGTGCCGTCGTCGGTCGCCTCCGAGGGTGCGCCCGCTCGCCCTCCGGGGGGCTGCCGCCCGCGCCAGGACGCCGAGAGACGTCTACGACGCCGAACGGCGGCGAGCGACGACGACGCCGAACGACGACGAGCGACGACGACGACGACGACGACGACGACGACGAACGACGACGACGACGACGCCGCGTGACGACGACGCCGCGTGACGACGACGACGAGCGACGACGAGCGACGACGACGACGAGCGACGACGACGACGACGAGCGACGACGACGACGCTGCCGCGCGCAGCGAGGGCCGCCCCCGGCCCGAGGGCAGCGGCGGGGGTGGGCAGCGGACAGCAGGCAGCTGCGCGCCGCGCAGGGGGGGGGCCTGGGTCGTCTGCGGCGGGCAGGGCAGGGTGAGCACCTCGGGCGCGATGTAGCCGACGCTCTCGACCCTCGGCCGCGCGCGGCGTCGGGTGTTCGTCTCGCCCATCGCTCATAGGCATAGGTCCTTTCCCTGAAGCCTACGCTCCCGACCATCGGCAGCGCGCGGCGTCGGGTGCTCGTCTCGCACATCGCTCATACGACCTTGCCCCTGTGCTGCCCGCTGTCGTGCGCGTGTTTGTTCCGCAAGATGATCCAGGATGCTCCTCGAGGGCCCTCGCCGAGGAGAGAATGCACACGTCCGAGAGATGCCGACTCGTCTATGGGGGGGCATGCTGGGTTGAAGCTCGCTGGAGGGCAGCGAACGCGATCTGGGCTTCTGGGGCGACGGAGGCGGGGGTGATGCTCGCAGGGTCAGAGCAGACCTAAGCAGCCCAGTCGTCGGTAAGAGCAGACCTAAGATCTGAGCTTCTCGCGAATGGGGATCGCAAGGGTTGCTATTGACGGATCAAACGCGCTGGTCGAGCGTATTGAGACCTGGCCCTGGAAACAACGCTGCCCCCCACCCCCCAGCGACCTTCGGTGGCGATATCCGAATCGAACCCCCGCCAATGATCGATTCTCCTGAATCGATGGGGGGCGGGGGTAGGGTTCGGGATTTCGCCGAGTTCGGCAAATTCCAAGCCCTACCCCCGCCGCCCGTCGAGTTGCCTGGATCGTGGATCGGCGAGGGTAGGTTCCGGATTTCGCCGCCGAGGGGGGGCATAAGACGTGACGTGCACCTTTCGCGCACCTCTTGGGCCCGCGGCGGCAATTTAAAGACCATTTGGGGCCACCTTCCTGCGGGCCCCCCCACCCCCCCAGGTATTGCCCCCCCCGTTACAGTCGGACCTGGGCCAGAAGAACATCCTTCAAGAACGTGAGACCCTCCGTCGGCCAGAACAAACATCCAGGGGCACCCTCCCCAGGATGCACGAGAACATCCAACAAACACGAAGAACACGATGGTAACCCCGAACCCACCTCGATCTTGTGCCTCAGTCCGACTGTACAGCCTGCCCGACGGTGGCGGCCCGGAGCAGACGGCGACGGCTCTGGGGAAACCAGCAAATACCGATACCTCTACTCCCCGGGCCTCTCCTGGGGTGCTTTCTGACCAGAATCCCGAGGCGAATCCAACGGTGGCAACGAGGGCCTCCGCGGAGGCCGAAACATGCTGGACCCACGAACCCGGAAAGGGATACAGACATGTGAAGTATGGAAACGTTTCGAGACACCTGGATTGGCCGATGGGCAGTAGCAATGATGAATTCATCGATGGTGATGGCACCGTGCCAGAAGCTGCGCTGCGCTGTGCTGTGCCGTGCTGCGAAATGCTGGACGAAACGAAACGCGAAACAGCCCACGAAACGCGCTACGAAGCACCCCGCGGCACACACCCCGAGAAACACTCAACGAAGCACGCTAGGAAACACTTGACGAAATACCCAACGAACAGCCACGAAACACCCTACGAATCACCAAACGAAACACCCCACGAAACACTCCACGAAACATCCCACGAACCACCCCACGAAATAGACGTGCCAACAATGCGCGGTCCTGCGCCGCGTTGTGCCTTGCTGCCGAGCTCAAGTTCCGACTCAGTAATGAAACGGGACGAACCGAGAGGGTGCGAATCCAAAGAAAGACGGAACGCACCGAGCAAGGACGGACCGAAACGCGGCACACCGAGACACGACGAACTGAGACAGGACGAACCGAAGCAGTACCGACCGAGACGAGGTCCAAAATCACGCTTCGCCACCGCTCCTCCAGCTGTCACGACCCATCAGGAAAATTACGCTGCGTCCGCATTCCTAGAGCCACGAACCTTAACAATTCACACTGCGCCCGCGCTCCAAGGGCCCCGATCCCTCGTAGGTTACAATGGGGTCGCGCTCCCAGGGGTCCGACCCCTTGTAAATTACGCTGCGCCCGCACTCCAAGGGCCACGATCCCAAGTAATTTACGCTGCGTCCGCGCTCACAGGGCCACGTTCCTTTGCAAATTACGCAGGGTCCGCGCTCCCCCTTCCCCTTCCCCCCCCTCAAAAAAAAAACCTCCCCCCCCTCCCCCTCCCCCCCCCCCCCTCAGGAGCCGCGATCCTCGTGAGGGGTGTAGAATTTTAGCCTTCCCAGGAGTCGATCTTGGACGCTCTAACTACCCGCGGCCTGCCCCTGTCCAGGTCGGTGGGTGGGTGTAGGGGGGGGGTAGGGGGAGGGGTTCCCCCCCCTCCGAAGGGGAAGAAGGAGGGGTGGAAGAGGAAACGCTTTAAACCACCGACGCCCAGAGGGCTGGTGGGATTCATCTTGATGACGTTGTCATTTTCGGTGGTTCGGCAGGTATGGCCATCGCATGTGTCCAAGATCGAGCCAACGTGTTCCTCATTGTTCAGGAAATGAATCCGACTGGCAGGAGAACGCAGTCATGTGTGTGGTACACGTTGCTTGACAGCCTTTCTGATGTAGGTTTGCGTCATGCGTTCGCGGCCAGCGCGCGGTACGAATCAGACGGCGTGTACGCCGTGCTCAAGTGAAACAGAACACGTGCTCAAGTGAAACAGAACACACCCCAAGCATCCATCAATCCAGCCATCCATCCTCGTCCTCCCCCTCCTCCTCCTCCTCCTCCTCCTCCTCCTCCTCCTCCTCCCCCTCCTCCTCCTCCTCCTCCTCCTCCTCCTCCCCCTCCACCTCCTCCTCCTCCTCATCATCATCATCATCATCATCCTTCTTACCCCCCCCCCCTCTCCTCCATCCCCCTCCTCCTCCTCCACCTCCTCCTCCTCCCCCTCCTCCTCCTCCTCCTCGTCCTCCTCCTCCTCCTCCTCCTCCTCCTCCTCCTCCTCCTCTCCTCCTTCTTGTACCCCCCCCCCCCCCCCCCTCCCCCCTCCATCGTCGCAGCGGATTCGCCCGCCGCGCCATCCATCGCCAGCGGGTCGCCCGCTACGCCATCCATCGCCAGCGGGTCGCCCACTACATCATCCATGAGCAACGCGCTATGTCCCCACGACGCCCCCCGAACAGTGATCTACAAGTTACCTGCAAGTAACATAAGTAATGTATAAGTACAAGAAGTATCTGGATGCACGCGCGCTGCATGTGCACCACATCAAGATGTGTTCCCACTGTCTGCCAAAGTTACATCCACGCACACACGCATAACTTGCAACGCATATCACGCAACAACATCAGATGTGGCACCTAAACTGCACTTCGCACAGAACAACTCAACATGAAGGCTGCTACAGTTAACTTGTTCCACGTCTACTTACTCATCTATGGCCAACTGTATCAGGGGGCCCCAGGAGGCCCCCAGGAAGCCCAAAAGAGGCCCCAAGAGGCCCCATAAGTTCAAAAATGCCTCCCAGGCGACCCCGAACGGCTTCTCAAAAGACCCCAAGAGGCCTCCCAAAGAAGCATATTGACGACCCTGTTTGGCCCCAAGAGCAACACAAGATGCCAGCGAGAGGCTTCCTCCTCCGCCCCTTCCCATTCCTCCTCCTCCTCCTACTTATTATCTTCATCCTTCTCCTCTCCTTCTCATCTTCTCCTCCTCCTCCCCTCCCCCCCCCATCCTCGTCCCCCTCCTCCTCGGCGGCGCCGCAGTGGCCCCGGGCCCGCGGCGAAGCAGCAGCGATCGTGCAACATGGGCCGGCGGAGTGAGCGACGCGATTGAATAAAATGCAAGTCCCCCGCAAGACTGACATCCGCAAAACTTCCCATCTGAATAATCAGCGTCTTGTTATAAACGATGGATCCTAAAAAATATTTCTCAGTGCTAGGACGAGCTCGAACTTCAGCAGAGGTTGAGACAAAGCTTGCGCCTGGTAACTCACCAATGATTTTCAACTCAAGGGCACTGATGCTCGCTTCCCCAACGAGGAGTGGACGGACCTATACGCTCACTCGATTCGGAGGGTACAAATCGTCATCGTCCCAATGGACAACGATTGAACCTCGCGCTGCTGTGAGCCCCATATTGCGCTTGGCACCAATGGACAGGCGGGTCGCCGATCGCACTAAGGTCACAGGCGCGCTCATGAAAGACAAGCCTGATGCGCCGATGTTCAAGTCTGGCCGCAACACCACTTCAATGGACGGCGTCCCGTCGTCGACAAGCACGACCTCAATGTTGGGATAGTCCTGAGCACTGATCTGCCGCAAAGCAAGTGTCACGAATGCACGCTGGTTAAAAGTTAAAACCATGATAGACACCAAGGGATTTCCCTCGTCCTGGGCTTGACTTCCCATGCCAGGGTAATGTGAACCAATCCGAACCTTCTGCCCGGAAACCTAAAGCAAGCTCGGACCCTCGCTGTCGCCGCTGTCATGGTGAACTGATGCGTCGCATGCCGCTGGGGCACCTGTCACCGTGTGCGCCAGCAACGTCGCGATACATAGCAAGACCTTAGACCTGCGCGGCATGACCTCGTAAAGCGTACGACGTTCAGCCTGTCGGATTGTTCGGTTGCGAAGTCCTGCGCATAAAAATGCTTGAGCCAAAACGACTACGGATGATGATGATGATGATGATGATGATGAGGATGATTCCAGGATGATGATGATGACGATGATGATGATGAGGATGATGAGGAAGATGATGAAGATGATGATGATGATGCTGCTGATGATCACGATTCCAGATTATTTGTTTTTGCACGGGTGTTGACGCAGCTTGGCAGAACGGACCAGCCTTTCGCCCATGGACGAAACGAGGCGACTCCCCAGGCGAACTCGATATACTCAGACCTCCAACGTCTGGAACGGAAGGAGGAGAAACGGCATACAATAGGGGCCCGATCACAAGAAACCTTTTTCACAAGACACCCAACCTTGAGACCATCGATTTTTGGTGTGGGAACGTCACGCTTTCCATGGAGAAACCATCGAAACCCAAGAAACCAAAGGCACCATGGAGGCAAGCAAGGTGTTTCTTGGCATGGGCCTCCACTGTAAACGATCCGCGCGGATTTCGTGGACCTCTGCACTGGATCTTCCTGGGGGCGCCTCGGGCGCCGCACCTGAAGCCGCTCCGCGCGATCAAGAAATCCGCGCGGACCGTCAAAAGTTCATATGTCTGTGCAATTGTTGTTGTTGTTGTTGCTGCTACTGCTGCTGAGTTTACATTTTTCAAGCCCGCCCGACCTGCCCGTCGGGTTCTGCCCCGTGTTTACTGGTCCTCGCCCCCTCTCCTGCTGCTCTCTCTCTCTCTCTCGTGCTCCATCTTTCTCCCTAACTCGACACGACGCGAACCTGCCGTCCGGTCATCGTGCAACCACGAGGAAGACCACACAAGGAACGAAAGGGCTCTCCCGACCTCGGCGGGCATCGGCGACAGAGAGGCCTCCCCTCCTGAAGCCTAAGTGGTTCTTGGCTCAACATCTTGACTGTGTGCAGAAGGAGCAGCAACACCAAGGACCCCCACTCCATTGGGAGGGGACCAGAGTCGAGAGGGGCAAGGGCATCAGGCACAGGGGGCCTTTTTTTTCTGCAGACGTGTCAGACGAAGCCACCCACGTGCAGACGTGTCAGACGATTCATTATGCTATTAGGGTTAGGGGCTGTATTCTGCTTACTGACAGAAGGCTGCAGAAAATCTGGCCGATGGACATCAAAACAAACGGCACCACACCACCTATGGGCCCACGGGGCTTAGCGTATACCGAGAGATCCGGCGTGGCTGTTTGCGTGGTATACGCTGCGGCGCCCGAGTGGCCAAAGCGCAACATGGAAGGCCGTAGGTGGAAAACCACCAGGTACCGATACCGCTACTCCCTGGACCTCTCCTGGGGTGCGTTCTGACCAGAATTGCGAAGCGAATCCAGCGGTGGCGACGAGGGTCGCCCAAGAGGCCCCAAAAAGGGGAAAACGGAGGCACGGTGGCGGTATGGGTACCCTTTCCATCCTCTGAGTGGGTGGGGTGGTGTCGTCCGTCTTCTGGTCGAGCCGAGTCCGTCGGCAGGCCGTGGAAGTCTGCAGAAAGGAGCGCCCCAGCGCCCCCCCGCGCAGCCCGCGCCCGCCGAGCGTCCCCCGGAGAGGAGCCGCCTGCTCGTGGTTTTTTCCGAGGCTCTCCAGCGTGCAGGAGCTGAAGGGGGTCCTCGGCCAGACCTTCAAGGAGTTGGCGTCCCTGCGCGCGGGGGGGGCGGCGGAGGAGGGAGGCGTAGGGAGGGGGGAGGGGGGGGGAGGGAGTAGGGAGTAGGGAGGAGGGGGGGAGGAGGAGGAGGAGGAGGAGGAGGAGGAGGAGGAGGAGGAGGAGGAGGAGGAGGAGGAGGAGGAGGAAGAGAAAGAGGAAGAGGAGGAGGAGGAGGAGGGAGGGAGGGAGGGAGGGAGGGAGGGAGGGAGGAGGAGAGAGGAGGGGGCAGGACAGACACATCGAAAATGGCGCAAACTTTTTGGAGGCCCGCGCAGACTTCTTGGAACGGCGATGGCCACCCCGCGCCGCCAAGGGGTCCAACGCCGATCCGAGAAATCCGCGCGGCTTGTTCGTGCTTGTTCTCGAGAGGAGGGGGTGATGGGGGAACGATCGAGGGGGGACCAGCGTGGGAAGCGCCGAGCTTGCATCGGCGACGCATCGCCGACATATCAGATGGCCGATGGGCCCCCAGAAGAACATCCCTCAAAAACACGAGAGCCTCCGCCGACCAAAACACGCAGGACATCCAAGGGCACCCGCCCCAGGATGCACAAGAACATACCGCAACCGCGAAGAACTTCCAGCAAGGGGTTCCTCGGCGGGGCCTGCAGGGAGTTTTGCTGTCGGGTGTTCCGGGTCTCGTTCCTCGCGGGGGGGGGCGGTGTAGGATGGGGAGGAGGTGTAGGATGGGGAGGCGGGACGAATATTGAGGGAGGAATGAGTAGGAGGAAGGAGGAAGGATGAGGAGGAGGAGGAGGAGGAGAAGGAGGAGGAGGAGTAGGCTTCTATTGATGTAGTGAGTAGTATGTATGGATTGCTTGGAGTATAGAGAGTATTCTGTATATGCTTAGAATTAGGATTTATTAGTATGAGTATGAGTGCATACTGAATATGATGCTACTGTACTTATTATGAATTAGGAGGATGAAGGACTACTGTTCCAGACCCGAAGGTCTTCCCGTTCAGTGTTTGGCTATTTTACCTCCCGAGGGGATAGGCGCGACTGTCGTATCCATCGCTTTCACCCGAAGAAGATGAGCGCCACCTTAGCCCCTACGCTCCCGCCAGACGGCGGGATGGGTGAGGGAATAGGCTCGCCCGAAGAGGGAGGGACAGAGGCGGGCCAGCAGACAGAAGCAAGGAGAGATAACAACGTCCCTAGATGATATATATATATATATATATATATATATATATATTCAATCAAAGAAGAGGAAAAAGAAGAAGGATAAGAAAATCAAAAATCGAAAAAAAAGAAAAAAAAAAGAAAAAAATTCAAAAAACAAAAAAAATGAGAAAAAAAAATAAAAAGAAAAAGTTCAAAAAAAAAATAAACGAGAAGAGAAAAAATGAACAAAAATAAAAGAAAAAAAAAAAAAATAAAGGCTCGCCCGAAGAGGGAGGGACAGAGGCGGGCCAGCAGACAGAAGCAAGGAGAGATAACAACGTCCCTAGATGATATATATATATATATATATATATATATATATATTCAAGGCTGCACTGGCGCTTCGCGCCGTGCATCTTGTTTCGCAGCCTCTCGTCTGAAAAACATTCCACATTTTTTTCTGACTTCTGCACGTTTCCTTTCAGGAATTCGACGACTGTGGCTTCTTGAGGCTCTCTTCGGAAGCTTCTTGGGGGAGCTCGTAAAAGCCAGCAGGCCTTCTGGAAGCGATTGTGGCATTCTCGGGAGCCTGGCTTGGGCCTCTTAGGGGGGGCTGGAGCCTGTTGGGGGCCCCTGTGGGAGTCCTTGGGGCCTTTCGGCGACAGTTTTGGAGCTTCTTTTGGCTGCCTTGGGCGTCTCCTGCGTCGCTTTGGGACCCTCCTGGACCGTCGTCGGAGCCTCTCGGGCCCGGTTGGAACAGTTAGGGGGCGTCTTGGTCCGTGTTTGAATCCCGGAAGGCGCAAAACCCGTACCTGTTAGAGATCTGTGTTTCTCCATCGGAATTCGACGCTTTTGGCCTCTTGGGGCTCCCTTCGGAAGCCTCTGGTGGGTTCCTCGGGCCGCTTTGCTGCGAACCCGGGCTCCCTCAACGACCGGGTCACGATGTGGATTGATTTGGGGAGCGTCCTGGAGCCGTCCCGGGCCGTCATGGGCATCTCTTGGAGCCATATCAAGGCCCTGTTGGGCCATCTTGGCGCTCGCTTGGACTGTCCGGAGGCCGGTCTGGTTGGGTTTGGGATTTTTTTCCGTGCCTCTCGGGCGGTCTCGGACGCCCGGAAGACCGAAGAACCGAGGTTCCAAGAATCTCTGAACAACTATGCGAAAATCAATGTTTTTTGTCGCATCGAGGTGCACATCGGAGTGCTCTTTGGGCCGTCTTCGAGTGCACGGTGGGTTCTTAGAGCCGCTTGGGGCCTTCGCAGGGCCGTTTTGCCACCCTCCTGACCGCTTTGGGCCCGCTGGCTAGGCCCGGCAAGGGCGTCCAGGTGGACCGGAGGCCCAGGGGACCCCTTGCAAGAGCGTCCAGGGGGGTCCTAAAATCTCCAGATCCCGGGGGTACGGATTTACCGGGGGGGGGGGTCACACCCCCCCGGGTTGTAAAAATATAGAAAAGGGAATATATTTATTCTTATATATATATGTATATATATACATACATACATACATACATACATACATACATACATACATACATACATACATACATACATACATACATATATACATACATACATACATACATACATACATACATACATACATACATACATACATACATACATATACATATATAGAGAGAGAGAGAGAGACAGAGAGAGAGAGAGAAAAACAACAAAAAGAGAGAGAGAGAGAGAGAGAGAAGAAAGACAGAGAAAGAGAAACAGAGAACACTCAAACAAAGAAAACGATACACATATATATATATATATATGTATATATATGCGCATATATATATATATATATATAAACAAACAAGCGGCACACACAAACTTTGACGGTCCGCGCGAACTTCTTGGATCTGCGCTTGACCCCCCTCGGCTGCGCCTCTGGCGCCGCCCTTTGCGCGCTCCTCGCACCCAGGAGAGGGGGTCCAATGCGGATCTAAGAAATCGACGCGGACTGTCAAAGGTTATGTTTATGCCGTCTCCCTCCTTCGGGGAGCAGGCTCGCCGGGAGAGGGCAGGAGGCGGGCCAGTGAGCAAAAGCAGGGAGAGAGACTGACGTCCATCCCACCACTACATACGTCAACACAAGCTGAACGGATAGAAGCGCACTGCACAAGCGAGACACGCGTGCCTGGGCGTGCTGGTGCATCCTGGGTGAGCACGGAGCACAGAGGCGACGCAGGAGGGGGGGGGCGGGGGGGGGAGAGAACGAGGGCGGAGGAGGACCGAAGAGGTGGAGGAGGGAGGAAGGATGAGTAGGAGTGAGGGGGAAGGAGGAGGAGGAGGAGGATGGAAGAGGATGGGGACACCCGACCGCCCCCAGCATCGAGGCGTCGAAGTGGAGGTTACAAACACCCCACCGAGCCCCCCGAGCGCGGGATGGTCTGGCGAGGCGGGGGGGGTCCTCCTCCTCTATTCCTTCTCCTTATGAACAACTCCTCACTGTCGCACCCCGAGGCCAGAGGGAATGGCGGGCCGGGCGTTGCGCCTGAGACGTCCTCACCGTTTACGATCCCGAGGCTTACAACATGGATCCTCACAGTTTCACGGATTCTCACAGTTTCACGGATGGAGGGCGGGTCGCTTTCAAACTATGGCTCTTGTCTTAGCGCCGCGTACACCCGTCTGAAAAACTCGCAAGCGTTTCACGGACTGGGGACAAGTCGGTTTCAACATGTGGCTCTCGCCTTATCTCCGCGCACATCCGTCTTACAAGTGTGCACGAGTTTCGCGGGCCGAGGCAAAATCATGTTGCTCCAGCCTTAGCACCGCACGCAATCGCCTCAACAATTTGCAAGAGCTTCGCGGATGGAGGGCGGGTCGTTTTCAAAATGTGGCTCTCATCGTAGCGCCGCACACAATCGTCATAACAAGATGCAGAAGTTAGGGAGCCCACAAAGGACGTACGCGCCTAGCTATGTACATGAACGCGGCCCCTCGATTCGCGAGACGGGCCGCATTATACGAACATTTGTGCAATGCGTGCTCTCGAAACCAGCGTGGATCCATGTACATGTACGTCCTTCTTTCGCCCCTGAGAAGTTTCACGGATGGAGGGCGGGTAATTTTCAAAATGCAGCTCTCGCGCGCCGCGCACGGTCGTCATAACACATGCAACAATTGAACGGATGGAGGGCTGCGCTCCTTTTCAAAAGGTGGCTCTCGCCTTAGCGCCGCGCATATCCGTTTTGAGAGTTGACAACCGGCTCAAGGGTTCTCACGGTAACCGTCCCAGGAATAATGTTCTGGCATGATGTCGGACTGTCAGGGCGCACCAGTTACGTTGATTCGTGGTGTTGAAGTCCCAGGCATGGTTTTCTGGCGCGGTTCAGGATCGCCAAGACGCAACAATACTGGCGACTCGCGACGTTGAAGTCCCATGAATGGTGTTCTGGCACCGTTCCGGAATTTCAAACGGTTATTCTCCAACGGGGCACTTCCTCCATTGAAAACGAATCCTTGCAGGGGCCTGTGAGGAGGGAGCCTGGAGGGAAGGTGTATTGCAATATCTCTGATGGGCCTTGGGTTCACACTGGCCTCCTCCTCCTCCTCCTGCTCCTCCTCCCTCTCTTTTATGGCCACCTCCTCCCTCCACCGTCACTCTTCCCCCTCCCTTCCTCCGCATTTGGCTTCCGCCCCTTCTCCCCCCCTTCCTCCACTCTGCGGGGCGCGGCTGCCTGGACCGCTGCAGCCACGGGTGCCGCAGGCACTGCCCCGCAGTGGGGCGGTCCTCGGGCCTCGCGCGGGGGGGGGGCGCCCTGGGCGACCACAAGAGCGACGGCGGCCGCCTTCCTCTCTCGTCTCCGCCCTCGTGCCGCACCCAGACTGACGAGAGAACTAAACCAGTTGGTACTTGTCTTGGTGCCCCTGGTCTCCCAGCTGTGTCTCCTGACCTTGATCTCCCAATTGAATGTCACTCTCTTGGTCTGCCGATCGTCCCTCCCTCTCTTGGCTTCCCCCGCCTCGCCCTGGCCGTCGCAGTCCCGGGCGACGACAGCGGCGGCCGCTTTGGCGCTACTCCTTCCTCCGCCCTCCTCCTGCCTCCTGCCTCGCCCTCCCACTCGAAAGTTCTTTTTCAATTATCCGCCCGCAGTGGATGTCACACTCTTGCTCAAACGTGTGGGCTAAATCATTAGCGCCAATCTGGAATGGGTGCGGAAAAAAGGTACGATGCCTAACAACAAACGCTGTCCCAAATCCCAAACCGACAGCGGCCGCTATTGGGCAGGCGGCCTTCTGACTCAACTGTACAACGTGCGACGGCGACAGCGAGTCTGATTCAGAATGAATCAGAACTGCTGTCGGTCTTTGTACCCGTGTTTTCCTTAAATACCTATTTCGATCGTCTTGATCAGACATGTGGGCTAAATTGTTACAACCAGTCAAGCACATCCCGTCAGACAAAGACTACGACCCCTGGGCACCAGTTCAGAAAAGGCGGAGCCTCACGCACCTCATAAGCACAAGGGCCCGCCACCGCTATGGCTGTACGATCCGACAGTCTGGTAGCATTATCTTCCTCTCCCCCCGCCTCCTCCTCCTCGCTCAGATTCCTCTCTTCCCTCCTCATCCTCCCCCCTCCTTCTCGTCCTTCCCTTCTTATTATCGTTCTTCCTCCTCATCCTCATCCTCCTCCTCCTCCTCGTCCTCGTCCTCGTCCTCGTCCTCCTCCTTCTCCTCCTCCTCCTCCGCCTTCCTCCCCCCTCACCCTCCTGCCCTCCCTCCCCGCCCACCTGGACTCCTGCTCGGTGGACCACAAGGAAGAGCGCCCTTCTGGCCTGGCCAGGACGCCACTCCCGGGTCCAGGACCTGGCACGGTCGGGGCCGGCGTGCAGGTGGGCGGCGAGCGTCTCTGAACCGGCCCAGCACGCAAGGGGCCCAGACCCCCTCGCGTCGCGAAAAAATCACGACGGGAGGTTTTTGACTATTTTCGCCCTCTGGAGGTCCTCGCCGGGCCTCGGGACCGTCAAAAAACGACTCGGAATGCAAAACCGGTCCCTGCGAAAGGGTCCAGACCTCTGGGGGTCGACGTTGCGAACAAATCACGACGTCGGGAGTCGGGGGGCCAGGGCCGCGAACGGCAGAGGCAGATCATCGGCAGCGCGCCCAGGGGTCAAGCCTTCTCAGAAGGCGGTGGGGCTTCTCAGACGCCCTCTGGCATGCCGAGAGGCACTCCGTGCTCTCGGGGAAGGCGTACGTAGAAAACTTCTCGCAAGACCCCGGTGGTTCCGAACCTTCTGAGGAGGCCCGCCAAGAGGCCCCCAAGAAAGCCCAGGAGACTTTTAAGACGTCCAAGATGGCCTCCAAGACGGCACTGGAGCATTCCAAGAGGACCCCAAGTCGGCCACCCAAACGGCTTCCGACGGCGTCGGACGGGCCAGGAGCCCACCAAAAACGGCCGAAGATGGCCCTAAGATGGCCCAAGATGGCCCAAGAGGCTTCCAAGAGGGCCTCCAGGAAGGGCCGAAAAAGCTAAAATCATTGATTTCCCATGAGTTTTTGAAGGATTGTGGCATTTGCTTTTCTTCTGCCTTCCGACGGCCCGAGACAGCCTAAGTGCCCCCAAAGATCGCACAAGAGGCCCAAGACGGCCCCAAGAGGCCGCCAAGACAGCCCAAGAGGCCTCCAAGACGCTTCAGATGGCATCCAAGACGGCCCAAGAGCCCTCCAAGACGTCCTCCAAGAAGGCCCGAAAGAGTCAAAATGGCTTCCAGACGGCCAAGATGACCTTCAAGATACCCACGTGTTTCCCGAAGGCTTTCCAAACCGATTCGGGGAACACATGGTCCGATAGCTTGGCAGGTCTGGCCTCAACGTTCGGCCACATAGGCGCTTCCAAAAAGGCAGGGGGCGGCGGTGATTCGCCGTAGGCGTCTTCGATAACGCCAACGTCTCGATAAGCGCTGATGATTCCTATCCGCCCCCGTATGATATTCCCAGATGCGCCAAGGCTGCGCCGAGACGCACCGACGCGACTCCTGTATACATATATATATACACACACATCCCAGTCTGATAGAGACGGGGCTGGCGGCAAGGGGCGAAGCCCTTACGTATAATGCAGATGTTTAAACTCAAGGGAATGAAGAAGCGGCAACTGATTAGGCTGGCACAAGTAGTACTGGCTGGCCTCCTCAGTGCTACAAATAAAGATACGTTGGGACAAATAAAGCAACACTTGTGAGATGGTATGTTCGACGCTCGTAGCAATAATGAGGCTACAACCTAAGGCTTTATCGTTTCGCCCCTAGCCTCCTTGGTGATGGGACCCGCGTGTTTGTTGCAACCTGTTTGTTCGGATTCAGCGCGAACCCTGTTGCGGGTGATAAAAGAAAAAGAGTAAAGCAGAAAACTGGTAAGAAGGTAGAGGAGTAGACGCGGGTGGACATCAGCAGCAGGAGAAGGAACGGACACCGTAAAGAGGACGCGACGTGCAAACGCCTGTAAGTTGAGGCGGGAGGAGTTTGGGGCAGCGCAGTCCATGTGGACATTGACGCTCTGGGAGTATCCGTTGCAGACGATGCGAGGTCATAGACAGAGGAAAGCGAACTGTGCACACACACCGATTCTGGCCAGGACCATCCTGAGCCCAGGATCGGTGCATACGCCCTCTTACCTTGGCCAGGAAGGTATATGCACCGATCCTGGGTCAAGGATGGGCGTTGTCAGGATCGGTGCATGTGCATAGTTCTCTTCGCCCGAATAGACTAGCCCGAGCATGGTCCTTCTGCACTGTGCGTCGGAAGGCTTGGCTTCGGTGCCGGTGGCGCTTCGTGCTCGGCCGTCCGAGACTTGGGTCTGGACACGGGTGGAGCCTTGAGCGCTGTAGTGATCTCGTCGCGGTGTTGAGTATCCCGGAGTCGTGAGCTGCATCTGTCCACCTCTTCGAAGTTTTGTTGATCGCGTCGCTGGTGGTCGCGAACTGCGTCCCGGCAGTATAGTAGCTGATTGTCATCGGTGCCGTCAACGTGCTGTGTGTCAAACCATCCGTTGCATGCTGGCACCTGTGTGGAGCCTGTTTGACCGTCAGGCATGTCAGGTGGAACTTTCGGGCGAAGTAGCTGTGTGCGGTGTGCGTTTATATGATGGAAAGTCGATGAGCCACCTTTGTGCAGGCGCAGCTTTTGGTGGTGGGATATCACTGTTATCCTCAACTGCGGTGGTGGTGGGTGTATTGGGCTGCGGATGGGCCATGTTGTCAGTACTGGCCTGTGTTGTTGGAGTCGATGTGCTGGCTGGGTGCTGGTTGGTCGTAGGTATGTCCACTGGTTGGGTCCTCCTCCTCCTCCTCGTTCTTCTCCTGGCTTTTCTTCTTATTCTTCTTCTTTCGAAGTATGATCCTCCTAATGTCAGTCTCCCTCCTCATGCCCATGACCTCCTCCTCCTCCTCCTCCTCCTCCTCCTCCTCCTCCTCCTCCTCCGCCCGCAGGGCATGATTATCCTCCCCTCCTCCTCCTCCTCCTCCTCCTCCTCCTCCTCCTCCTCCTCCTCCTCCTCCTCCTCCTCCTCCTCCTCCTCCTCCTCCCTCCTCCTCCCCCTCCTCCCCCCCTCCTCCCCCCCCTCCTCTCCCCCCCCTCCTCCCCCTCCTCCCCCTCCTCCCCCCCTTACCCGTGCCCCTCCTCCTCGTGCTCCTCCACCCGCCCCGCGGCGGCGCGCCCCCCGCCGCTGCCGCGCGCGCGGCGTGCCGGCTGCGCTCTCCGGCGCCCCCGCCTCCTCTCGTCTGCCGTCCGCCCTGGCGCGCGGCGGCCCCGCGCCGCCCCCCGCTCGGCGGGCAGAGTGGCAGCCAGACGAGGCCCCCTCGGCGCCCGCCCGGGGTCGCCTGCACGCCAGACCCAGACGTCGGGCGTCTCGAAAAAATCGAGACGGAGGTTTTTCGTAGTCTTCGGCCTCTCGGGGCCCTCGCCGGGCCTCGGGACCGTTAAAAAACGGCTCGGGATGAAAAACCGGTCCCGGGGAAGTGGTCGGGAGGTCGGGGGCCCGAGTTTCGAACAAATCGAGACGTCGGATGTCTGGGGAGTGACCCTGGGCAAGAGTGACCTCTGGTGCGCGGCTCTTTGGGGGGCCGCGGGGGGGGACCCAAAACGAGCGCGCGAGGCGCAACGGTCGCATCGCAATCGGTGATCGGGGGACCCCATTGGACTCGCACCAAAGGTCACTCCGGCGAACCCAGACATCCGACGTCTCGATTTTTTCGAAACTCGCCCCCCGACCTCCCGACCACTTCCCCGGGACCGGTTTTTCATCCCGAGTCGTTTTTTAACGGTCCCGAGGCCCGGCGAGGGCCCCGAGAGGCCGAAAACTAATTATGAGAAACCTCCGTCTCGATTTTTTCGAGACGCCCGACGTCTGGGAAAGGTCACTCTTACGTGTAGTCGACTGGGGCGCTCCCGCCGCGCCGCGGCGATCGCGGGGGCCCCGGCGCGCGCGGCCGCCCGCTCGGGCGCGAGCAGCGCAAAAATGCAGGGAGACGGGGCGGGCGCCCCTCCAGCCAACCACCCTGGGGAGGAGGAGGAGGAGGAGGAGGAGGAGGAGGAGGAGGAGGAGGAGGAGGAGGAGGAGGAGGAGGAGGAGGAGGAGGAGATGATGGGGCGACTCCCAGGAGGACAGTCCTCTGAGAGAGGGTCCAGCCCGCAAAACTTGTTGGGCGGGTGCCCCATCAGGGGGAGATTTTGTGAGGCCGAGCGTGGTGACAAAGCCACGCACGGCGCTCGCGACAGGTGTACCCGCTGCGAAACCTCAAACCTGGCGACTATTCTCGCGGGCTCGAACTCGCTCCATCAAGCGAGCCATTCGAGCTTCATACGAGATGGCACTGTCGACCGAGTACTCAACAACTGAAGTCGTCGCTCTGACATCCCTCGCACTAGCCACTGTGAGGCCGACGCGTGGGGCGCTCGGTCGATCAATGCACGAATTCGGGGATTCGGGGCAAGCCCTCTCCGAAAACGCGACAAAATCATTTTACCAGTGCAGGTGGAGGGGGGCACAGGGCTTGCTCAACTTAATGGCCTTTTCCTGGCTCCAACCTCCACACTTCAGACACAACAGGGATCCCCGTCGAGCCTCAGTGCTCTCTTCCTCGGCACGGCACCGCACAGCACGCAACGGAGCAAGACGAGAGCCACTGACGGCGACGAGCTGATGTCCCATCGAGTCAACCGTGAGAGGCTTCAAAAACGACGGGGTCCCAATACAACCATTCAACGGCAAGTTACGACACGATGGCGCAACTTTGAAACAGACTTCGCACTGCCAGCCGAGCTCCCCCAGACCCCAAGCGTGCCACCCCTCCCCCCGAGAGTTCCTCTGTCGGCACAGTGCTGTGGGTCTCCGCCACCGCTGCGGCCTCTCCTCGAGAAAGCACGGGAGGACGGCAGCAGCCAACGCCACAAAATCGGCAGCCCGACTCCTCGCGAGATCAAGCTTGGCCAAAAACTCTGGCGATGGAGCAGGGTGTAAACTGGCGGCAAGTTTAGCATGGTGATCGGCGAAACGGTTCGCTTCGGCCCAGTGGCGCCCCTCGCCCGACAGACTGTCAATCTGCTCCTGGGACCGACGAGCCTTGACGTGCCGAACCGAGATGAATTGGTGGCCTTCCAGGCCACGACAGAACTTCAGAAAGCCAGCTGCCTGGTTGGACGCGCGCAGCTGAAATTGAACAGGCTGCTGGAATCGCCGAATCGCAGGGTGTAATACAGTCGCTGCCAGCCAGGGTCTCGCGGTCGGCGATCTGGCCAATCAAACAAAGCGCAACACTTTCGGCGATGCTCGGCGTTTGCGGGAGGTTGCCAGCAACAGGGCCTCGAATTACTGCCACGGGCACATTAGACCCAGGAGACAGCACTGCAATTGCCCACGACGCGCGCTCAAGCTCCACTAAGCCTGGCCGTGTGCAGGAGCCGTCGGGGGCTACGTCCAATCGAGGGCCCTGAACGAGAGACGCCACCCCCTCAACCTCAACCGCCAACTCCTCCCCCTCAGGGCCCTCGAGGACCACTTTATCCGAGCAGGAAGGGGGAGGAATCCCCCCCTCGTCATACAGGAGAACTCCTTGCACAAAGATGGGATCATCAGACTCGATACCTGCACTGATGAAAAGCGGGCTGACTTTAGCCTCAGTGCGGGCGGCGACGACGGCAGGCAGCATGCATTCATACAAACAGTGCTTGATTGTCTGCCTCTGGCCGCACGCACAAGGGCCATCGCACATGTAGCCAGCAGCCTGGGCGCGGGCCTTGGTCCAGACTCGCGGCATGAGCAGCTCCCAACAAGCAACTTCTGCTGACTAGAGAGCCGTCGAGACCGACCGCCGACCGACGACCGAACGAAGTCAAGCAAGGCCCTGTAGCCTGTCGGAACTCCCAGCTGCATGGCCAAAGCCCTCTCGTGCTGACGCTGAATGCCACCAAACATGAGAGTTGAACGCATACCCGGAGGCGTTCTGCGAACGTCGATTGTCGCACCTCGATGGCCCATCCAGCTCATCGCAGACAAGACTCGCCAGCCCGCACGCTGCGCAGCTAGCGCAGCTCGAGACAAGGGGGCACGACTATATGCCCAGTCGGTGACCTGAGAAGGCTTGGCTTCACGCCATAGCCTCAACAAACGAGCACGCACAGCGAGCGGGTGTCTGCAGACCTTCGATTGCCACAACAGTCTGCACCACTGGATGGCAGGCGCAATGGCGGATGCAGCGGCGCCATCACCGAGCAAGACAGTCTTGCTCGGAAGGCTCACACCACCATGCAGAGGAAGTTGGCCTCGAGCGACATCACGCCTGCACCTCAGCCACTCCGAGTTGCTGAGCCCGACGACCTCACTGCCGTAGGTGGCCTCGGGCAAGGCGCCAGCGCGGATGGCACGGCCGATAGACTGCGCCTTGTGGCCAGTGATGGCCTTGCCGAAGCGCCTGATCTTCCGCGTGCGCCTCAGCATATGCACCTTACGCTTGGCGCGCTTGGTGAGCACGCCCTGGTCGGCCCCCCTGCTGCCCTCGCTGACGTCGACGCCGACATAGACCACGCTGCGCCTCGCAACAGAGGCAGGTAGGCCGAGCCTGGACACGATGCCCTGCGCAAGGGAGAGGGTGGTGCCGACAATCACTAGCTTGTTGTTGATGATCGCGTCGAGCTCAGTGACAGTCTCCCTGAACTCCAGCATTGCGTTGACCACCATGGAAGTAGTCGTGCTCACCGTGGTAGACGATACCCGAATCGAGTTGTCGTCAATGTAGCTCACAAACTGAATGAACTGCTGCCTGACAAGGAAGCTGTCATACTCCCTCACAAACCATACCTTGATCGAGAAATCACAAACACACATCTCCAGCAGGGAGACCGCATTCGGCACAAAGGGCCTGCTCCGCAGGATGACCAGCTAACCCCAGCACACGTGGCGCACGCCACATGTTGTACACCAACTTCAGGAAGGCCGTGGGCGCGATGAAACTGATGTACTTGTCGCGCAGATTGGTCAAAGGAATGCGCTCGTAGAACTTGCTGAAATCGGCAACTGCGAGTGCGCCGTGGTAGGCCTGCTTGCTGTCGGCCTCACCCTCGGTCGCCTGAAGCCACGCGCAGTCGACGGAGGACCGCCCACGAGCAGCACCCCAGTACGGCCTGTCAATCTGGCCTGCAGCTCTCGAAGCACTGGCCGCCGCGTCCGCTGCCAAATCCTGTAGAGCCCAGCGTGGAGTACCACCAACCGATTGCCAGAACCAGACGTCTTGGGTAGCATCGGTGTGGTCAACCAGCACAACTGCCTCGGCGGTAGTCCCAAAGACTCCATCGCCTTGAACATCAGGGCGACCACCTCGAGGGCCTGATCCTCCAAGAGAAGGAAGTGACGCGGATGAAAATGATCAGGCGCTGCCGTGGTGTTGTGCGAGAACGATCGCGCAACTGCACGTAGCTCGCCAGGATTCACCTTCGGCAACGCCGTTCGGTCAGGAATCCATGCTGGCACTGGGCGGGAACTGGACCACCACCTCTTGTACAACTCCACTTCGTGCCGAACAACATCGCGCGCATGGGCCAACGCACCGTGGGCCGTTGGGACCACCGTGGGCTGAGCAACGTCGCGGTACTTCGTAGCGCGGTGGAGGACGCGTCAGCCATTGGAAACAGCTATGGCGCACCACTCCTTCCACTTCTGGCGGTCCTCCTGGGTAGCTCCGTTGACCGCGAGCTTGACGTCGGGCTCAATGTCCCCTAGGAACTCGCGGCATGCCTCCTCCTCGAAGCCAGCCTGCACCATGCCGCGCGCCTGCTGAACAGATCGATCGAGGCGTGCGGCAAGACCCTGCCCATGGTAGTTGGCCGTCGCGAAGTTGAGGATCTCCTCAGCAGCCAACGACAGGTCCTGCACGGACGGGTTGGCCACCGTCTTGCACTGCATGATGCTGAGGAGGGAAGACTGCAACCATTGCCAACCCTCGGCCACAGCCTGCAGGTCGGACGCGTCTTTGACCGCATAGGTGATGTCGATCCACCGGGGTTGCAAGTACCGAGCGAAACCAAACAGAACTTTGCGATCCTGATGACCCACAGCGTTCGCGATAGCCTCTGCGGCTGCGACAGCGAAGTGGCCCCGCGCCGCCGAGAGAAGGCCCCATCCAACTCCAGGGGGAGACTCAGGATCGCCACACGACTGGACAGCAGCTTCGGCAACACACCGAGCGCTAGTGTAGGTGGGCGGCTGCACTTGCGGCCCGATGATGATCTGGGTGTCCATCTTTAGCGCCGCCGTGTAGACCAGCCGCTTGACGTGCTCAGCATCACCTTTGAGGAAAATATGAACAGGCCGATGGCCTCGCTTGGCCCACTTGACATCAATGCCCACACTGGCATACATCCTCATGGCCGCTGAGTTGAGGAGGATACAATCGATAACATACTGACCTGTACCTCCTCGAAACGTGACAGAAGACGAGCTCACAATCAAACAACCAACGTGAGCGGGGAACTGGCTCGCCTCCAACTCGCCTTGGCACATGTTCCAATCACCACCAATGACGACTGGACCGTCCAGTGCCTCAGCAGCGAGGCCCAACTCTTGCAACAGCCTGCCGTTGCGGCCAGCGGCGCCCTCACCAGTGCGCAGGTACACGTTGAAGGCATGCAGGCCGACAGGCAGCTCGGGTATATCGATGAGAACATGCTGAACTCGGTTCGGGGCGACCTCATGCACACCGACGCTAGGAGGACGAAGTCCGCGACGATCGCGCACGGCAACAGCAACACCTGCCGACGGCACAGAACCAGAAGCCGGCAGGCTCGGCAACGCCATAAGCCTCCAAACCCGCACACCGCACCATGAAGCCAAAGCCCCGACGTGCTCGCTGATGTGCCCGAACTCCCGCAGCAGCGCCACGCTCGCCATCGTGCTGGCGATGCGCTTCTTGACGGACGCCTTGCCGCCGCTGGCGTTGTAGGTTTCGATGCTGAACTCAGCGCCGACCGTCGGCCTGGCCCCGCTCGGCGGCTCCCGCCCACGCCC